CCCCCAAAACCCCAAAACCCCAAAACCCCAAAACCCCAATTTAAATTCAAAAGATTGAAGTTACTTTAGATTGCTTTGAATAGAATTACAGATAGTCATCTTAAGAGCTGAAGGGTAACTGATGGCATAAGGAAAACTTATGCTTTAGTTATATACTGAATAAGCTCTCTTAAAGTTCTTAATAGTTATTCTTAGAGAGTACTCATTACGTTCATTAGAAATTAAGGTTCATCCCTTTCTTGCTTTGTGTCTTCTTCGGTGGCTCTGCTATCAATGATTTGGCCAGCTCCCCTTTCTTCCTATTCGATGTTGTGGCTGGAACGTTGTACGGCCCCATCTTGGTGACTCCCAACGAACTGTACTTTGCCAACGACTCATGAGCGACGCGCGACCTCTTGCGCTTTAGCCCCTCGACGAGTCTGTCTTTGAGGTCGTCGTAGCCCAGCTTGGTCGCCGCTTTGGCTTTCTTGTGTTTGGGCTTCCTGGCTCTTTTATCGTAGCTCTGCTTCATGCTGTGAGGCCGGATGTACGAGAAACTGTCGAGGTTGGCTCCGAGTGACTTGACGTTTGTGAGTTGGTTCTTGGCGTTTCTGGACTTGGCTGCTTTGGAAGACTTTGGTTGCAAGAGCATGCCACTTTTGGTCAGGAGTTTGTTCGAATCAAGCTTATTGATGTTATTTCTGATGTCCCAAAGGTTGTTCCGGAATAACACTTTAGGGTCGATCTGAGAGTCTTTAGGAGCTTTGATGCTACACATTAACACACATTGCTGTGCTTACTTGTGAGAGGACTTCATGTTTCTGGCATCTTTGCTTGACTGAGGCTTCAACCCTACAATTGAGCTTCTGGCTTACCTGTGAACTGAGTTTTCTTATTTGTAAGAGTGTCTGCCTTTGGCTTTGCTGGCTCCAAAATGAGAACTTCCGTTGTTGCCTGACCTCCGTTTGTGTTTGTTAGTGTCAACGTTACCGATGTTGTTCATGGTATGAACTTTGTTGTGACAAGTCCTGACTCCTTTTGAGCTCTTAGGCCTAGCTTTCTTATGGCTGGACGAAGACCGGTCGATCAGTTTGCTGATAAGCTTGTTTTCTTTAGCTTTCTTATTTATCCTGAAACAGATATTTAGAAAAACCAACATCATCTGTCATGTTCACTTTACTCGCGTCACTGCTGAGTAAACCAATTCCAATAGAATCATCAGGTTGGATCTCTTTATAACTTGTCGAATGTTGGTTATTTATCATTGAGTCCATAAGTAATGAGTCTTTCTCTTTGTGCTTACCGGGGGAATTATTTTTGAATGATTCTTCAAGATCAAAATCATCTGACATTAAGGCTTCTAATACATTTTGCATTTTGTTGTTATTTCTGAAATGCTTTTCCTTTTCTGTCAGTTTCTTATCTTTCATTATGTATGCTAAGAGTTTTTCTATGATTTTGCGGTCCGAAGGGTTGCTTTGGGAGTTCTTCTTGGAGAAGGAATTAACTGAGTTCACTGAGTTTTGGATCAAATTGTCCTCTTTCTCTTGGATTTCGGGCATTATACCGACTTTGAGTGAGCTGATCTAAAAGATTCGTCCTCTACAACTCTGTTGTTGGACACTGAACGGTACCTTGTAGTGTCAGTGTTGCGACTCTTATCCTTCGTGCTACTGTAGTTCAGATCTTTGGCTTTTGGAATTTCTGGAACCACAGGTTGAGCCCCATATGTTGCGTAAGCCTGGTAGGATAGCACCATTTTGTTTGTGATGGTATCTGCAGGCGAGAAGCAAGGAGGTGTTAGTTGAATGTGTCCAGAATCAAGCTTTCTGATGATTGGTTTGAATTTTGAGCTTTCAATTCCTTTAAGAGGCTTTACAATGTGCAGACTAAGTTCATTTTCTCCATCCTCAGGAATTGTTTGCTGACAAGGAGAGTGGTGCTTCTGGTAGCTGAGTAAGATGTGATTTAGCAGAGGTCAATCACTTGGAAGAAAAGTGCATGCAATTTCAAGAGACTTAGAATGCCAATATTCAGACTCTTCTGCTTTCTCTTTCTCATCAAAGTCTTCTTCATCCTTCAGCTGGATAATGAATCTGATTTCTGTGGAGATACAGAAATATGTGACTCAAAGTAATGAGATCTTCTCAATGAAGGAAGTTCTGTTAAATTCAGTTTCATTCCTAGGAATAGAGAGGAGTTCCTCAATTCTGACAGGTTGTATTTGCATTATGTTTCCGATATTAAGATTTGATATCATCTCTAGTTGGTTGAGATACCCAAGAACTATCCTCATGTCAGGCTCTATCTTCTTCTTGGTCTTACTCTTCTTGTCCTTTTCTGATTGTTCTTGGCTACATTGGGAATCGTGCCCTTCTTCCTCGACCAGAGAGGTATCTACAGTAGAGTTAGAATGAATGTGAGTGGTAGTTTACTGTTATTTTTGGAAACATTAGATTTCCAACCTTTACTTTTTGAAAAATATAGTAAGCAATGAGGCTAGGCTAGACGAATAGACAGGAAAATTTAGAATGGCTTTAAGGCGAAGTATTGGGGAAAAGAACCTTGACACTTTATGTGAAATTTTTGTCGAGAAAATTAAGAAAGGTGCAAAATTTTGTCTGAAAGAAAATTTTAGATGTCATTAGGAGGATTTGATTACCTTTTGCTTTGCTTTTTAATTCATCTACTTTCTTTTCTTGCACTAAATGATCTTTTAATGCCTCGATTATAGGCTTGACTCTCTGAGCAGTCCTCTCGATTAGAGAGAGGTCTTCTTCAGCATAGTTATGAACAACAGCTTGGCGATAAGGAGACAAAGATTGCTGTCGCTCTTCTGGATTGGTTGGTAACTGTTTATCTGAGAATTGAGAGTGCGAATTATTGCTACTTAGGCAAGATTTATCAGGATTTTCATTATCTTTGGCAAAAGTATAAGAGGCTGTCTTGTCCTGAATGAACTTCTTTTTAGTATAGTAATTGCAAAGAGCGAGAAGGTCTTTGACCAAACCGTGGATCAATCGAGTACTCATCTTTGCCTGCTCCAGGGCATCTGTGTGATGATGGAGTTGGGAGAAGAGAGCACAAAGTTGAATTCTGATACGGGCTTCTTGTTGCATTAATTTCATTCTTTTTGCAATAGTTTGGTTTGTAAGAGATGTGTATTTGTCTAAGTAACTGAGGGAATTTTCGAGTGCAATGGATCACTCTTCTAGACTTCCTAATTTCTGAAATCATACAGCCATATTAACAAAAATAACATAGCCGAAATATTTATCTCTAGTACATCCTTCAATGGAGATAACATTGATTATCCCATGTGCTTTCTGTAGTAAAATGAGAGCTTTTTCATATTGCTCCTTCTTGATAAATCTGAGTGCGTTTTCAGTGAATTCAGCTAGGACAAAGGGGATCTCATCCTCGTTAACTTTCAGCTCTTTAGAGTAATGTTTCTGAAACAATGCATCAGGATCTAGTGACGCATTCTGGTTCCCAACATAGCTAGGCAATTTATCAGCAGATTCAAGCTTGTTTGGGGATTTCCCGTCTGTCGTATCTTGGCTAACCATGTCACAATTGCCTGAAGATGAGGTCTTATCGTTCATAATTTAAATATATTTAAATTTTAAATTCTGGCTTTTCTCTTGGGGTTTTGGGGTTTTGGGGTTTTGGGGTTTTGGGG